ACAGAGCCTCAAGCTATCCCCCTGGGTAGAGTGCTGTGGCATCACAGCTCACAGCAACCTCCAACTCCTGGGCTCAAGCGAGTCTCCTGCCTCAGGCTCCCAAATAGCTGGGACTACAGGCGCCCGCCACAATGCCTGGCCATTTTTTGGTTGCAGCCATTATTGTTGTTTTGCGGGCCCGGGCTGGGGATTCGAACCCAGCACCTTAGGTGTATGTGGCTGGCGCCTTAGCCGCTTGAGCCACAGGCGCTGAGCCTCAGCTGGTTTTTAATGAAGAAAAAGTGATTAAATGAACAAATGGACTTAGATTGTTCAAAGGAAAAAAAAGCCTGTCTTTCCTTCGACAAAGAGTCTCTGCTTGGCCCAACCTTGTTTAAGCTCCTTAGCTTTCCCTGTGCCAATCTGTGCATTTCCTTGTAAAATCCAGGGTTTGCAAAGAACTCCCTAAGTCAATTTAGCAAGAATCATTTCAATTTATGATCATTTCCCACTACCCCCAGGCAATGTCTGATTTCCCTGGCCTGCCTTCTGTTAGGTAGGTTTGGCCTGAATTCCCCTCACCCCTTATGATTCTTCTTACTAACTTTCCATCCACTGACCCCTACCTGTTCCTTGGCTCTAAATTTGTGCTCACCTGTGCTGTATTTTTTGCAAGCCAAGGAACCCCAAAGATTGTCAGCAAACCACTGGAAGCTGGAAGAGGCAAGGAAGGATCCTCCAAACATGTTTCAGATCCTGCCAACACCTTGATTGTGAAACTCTAGCCTCCAGAACTGTGAGATAATGAATTTCTGTTTTAAACCATATAATTTGTAATAGAGGAAGGTGTTTGCTCTTACATTTTTGTTTGTCTATAGAACAAGAGTGAGAATCTAGGACTCCCCTGGAGGAAGGGGAGGTGTTCCCTCTCTGATTGGCAAGGGACACACCATACATGCACACAAATACATGATACATATGTGCAGGCACATGTGAATGCACATATACCCTTGCAACCCTTATACCCACACTGATACACCTACCCAAGAAACCCCTTTGCATAAGACATAGCACACATGTACATATGCATGCCCACACGTCTCCTTGTCAGGCTTTCACCTCGGAGGCTACAGAGCTTGGAGGAAACTGGGAGAGGAACCAGAAGCCAAGGAAGGACTGTGGCAGTAGAGGGGAAGGGCACATTAGAAAAGGCCACACTTCCCAGGAAACCAGGGAATTCCCTTCCCTGGCCCAACTCTGTCTCAGATCCTGGTTTTCTCTCCTGGGGCTCAGAAAAGGATTCTCCAATAATTTAAGCAGATAGATTCATGGCTTACAACTCTCCAGGGGTTGGATTCTGTGGGTATGAGTTCCCTGTGGTCTTCCTGGACTCATCTCCCTTCAATGATAAGAGAATAAGATACATGCTTGGGCTTCAGATTTTTATGGAGAAAAAATTTATTAGAACAGGAGGCCAAAAATCACCCCAAAAACTAAACTAACCATGGAAGGGATCAGTGTGGGAAAGAGCCACTAGTCAGCACCTCCTGAACACTGAAGGACCTCCCCACCAGTTTTTCTTCCTCATCTCTCTAGTCATGAAAGTAGAGGATTTGATTATTTCTGCTCTTTACACTTTTGGGGAATCTAAGGGGTTAGGAGACTTCCTGTGAAGCCCTCTCAGACCTAAGGTGTGGAGGTGTGTTATGGCCACATTTGCCCTCTTGTGGCTGTTGAGATGTTTTTATTACTAATGACTTACCCTTCTTGAAAGCATCGGTATTTGTGTGTGTCCTCTGGTGTGTGAGGAGGGCTGACTTATCATGGAAGCTCTGCGCACAGTCCCTGCAGACATAGGGCTTCTCCCCTGTGTGTGTCCTCTGGTGTGTGAGGAGGGTTGACTTACAGCTAAATCCTCTCTCACAGTGCATGCAGACATAGAGCTTCTCCCCTGTGTGTATCCTCTGGTGTCTGAGGAGGGATGACTTATCATGGAAGCTCTGCCCATAGCCCCTGCAGACATAGGGCTTCTCCTCTGCATGTGTCCTCTGGTGTGTGATGAGGTGTGGCTTTTGGCTAAATTCTTGCCCACATTCCCTGAAGACGTAGGACTTCTCCCTGTGTGTATCCTCTGGTGTGTGAGGAGGGATGACTTATTATGGAAGCTTTGCCCACAGTCCCTGCAGACATAGGGCTTCTCCCCTGTGTGTGTCCTCTGGTGTCTGAGGAGGTGTGGCTTTTAGCAAAATCCTTACCCACATTCCCTGAAGATGTAGGGCTTCTCTCCTGTGTGTGTCCTCTGGTGTGTGAGTAGGTTTGGATTTTGGCTAAATCCTCGCTCACACTCCCTGCAGATGTAGGGCTTCTCCCTGGTGTGTGT